AGATGGCATAGCGTTCAAGGCGGCCAATGAAGGGGACATGACCTCCTTCTCGAGGGAATCCATACTCTCCATCCTCTGATAGCGCAGGGGCTCAAGGGGGGCCCTCCGGTATCTAGAGGGAATTATCACCTTGGGTGCGACCGGACGCAATTCCAAAGGACGCCAGGGACCCAGGTATTGATGCAACCACAGGCCAACGACAGACACGCTATGGGAGTGGCTGGTACCCGTGTGAAACGTGTCACAAACAAGGACCGGTGCTCTGAGGGGTCACCGTTAGTCCGCTGAAAGTACTGGAAGTAACTAAAATCGATGCACGCCCAAATACTTCCAGTGAGTATGGAATCAATAATAAACCGTGTAAAAAGAGGCTGCAGGTTGCACAACAGGGGCTGCCAACTAATTTGACCCAGGAGGCACCAAGCTAGGGAGAAAGAAGTCTATTAGATCGAATGAACCAGCCCAGAAGGCCTGTGAGAAATGGTGATGGAACTTTTGGAGTCAAAATGGCCGCCGTTCTTAAAATGGCGGCCAGTCCTGAGGGGATTAGATCGCAAACCTAAAATGCGGAATTCCAATCCTTCTGCTGAGGAGTTCTGTCTCACAAAGGCTCGTTCTCCCCTGGGAAGGCGAACCTATGAGTAATAAAGCTATATTAACTTTAGCCTCTATCCCACTCTCTGTGGCCTTGCACCCCGCTATCAAAATGGCGGCCGCGCCAGAACGAACTGTCAAAATTTGACAGTTGACATCTGACGAGAGTCCTATAGGAGCGAAGCGGCTGTTAACCGCTCCGCGGTCAACCGCCTAACAGCTGACAGTCCGCCTCGGTTCCGTTGCTCTTGTCCTGTTCCAATCCGGAAAACGAAGAAGCAAACGGCCAAAAATCGGCTGGCAATAATTCTCGGGCCTTAAAGCCTCCCTAGCAAACTGCTTTCCTAGGACCGTAGCAGTCGCGATTTGCGAGAGAGAGGCCTTTGGCACCGAAGGCCTTCCCCGCGAAAATGGTCTCCTCGGGAGTACAGCCGCAATCCCCAGGAGCGTAGCCGCCGCAATTTACGAGCGAGAGGCTTTTGCCGCTAAAATCTTCCTCCGCGAAGTTGGCCTCCCCAGGGATGCAGCCGCAATCCCCGTAACAAGAGGGCAAGTCGCTTTCAGGCTTTGCCGAAAAACGCACGGAAGGAAAAGAGAGAACTGGCCCTCCAAAATTTCCTAACTGCTCCTGATTTTTGAAATGTATGAAATTTAGAATCCACGATTCTAAATTCCTCAGTTCTGTGCTGTGAGCTCCTGGAGGGAGGGGAGAAAGAAGGGACCCCCTTCTACCTCCCGATTAATCCCCCCCCCACTTCAGAGCTGACAGGAGAACTGTGAACTTAGAGAAAATTTTTACAAATCCAATTATAATAATTAACTAATCTGCTAATAGACCAGATTGTGCCTAAGAGCCAGAGTTGTACGTCCTGTTCTTGGGCAAGAGCAAGTCAAGGCTGGGCATAGGTCCAGGGACAGGGCGTGACAACTTTGGCTGACTTGATCTGATTGGGCAGGAATACAGTCTTAACCCATGGGTGGATCCTCCATCTCCAGTGCTGGAGAATAGGAGCTCTCCCTTTAAGAAAGCGCTCCTAATCTCAGCTTGTTACTTGTTCATAAAAGACACCTGGGAGCCAGAAATCTTGCTTCACTCATTAAAATTCAAATCAACTTATAACTTTTTTGAAATGCGTTTTTCTGGGGAGGGGTTGTTGTTATTCTGTCTCTCACTGTTAAAATAAATTTACCATTAAAATTATAGACTGATCATTTCTTTGTCAGTGGGCATACGTACAAAATCAGCAGAGGATCAAACACTTTTTCCCCTCATTGTAAACCAGGGATTCCCAACCAGGGGTACGAGACGATATTCCAGGGGATGCGAAAACTTGGGTTTTCAAAATTATAGTGTATATGCATAATTCGTTGCCGTTATTTCAAACTTTTGTAAGGGGTGCAAAAATATATCAGAAGCATTCTAGGGGTGCGGGGTATAGAAAAGGTTGGGAACCACTGCTGTAAACACTCAATAGCACTTGGTAACCAATGATGGTTTTTGGTATGGTGCATGCATTTTTAGCAAAATTTGCTCATTCATGCAATTAAATTTTAAATGCAATAGTTCCAGTTTTTTTAATAGTCACATTTAGAAATGTTATAATTAAAAGCCTTTTACAAAAAGGATATATTACGATAGTATTCTTCTTTTTATTCCATTGTGTTTAAAGCTATCAAAGACACCTAACACACTGCTACCGGTAGGAATGGGGTGGTTAGTGGCACAACTGTATTCACACATTATTTTAATGTGCATCAAGGATTTTTTTAACACTTAGAATGTTATGATTCTCAGAGGAAAGAAAAAAGCATATTTGGATACTTTCTATAGAATCATGAATTTTTGGATGCCCCTGACAATATTTTTGAAAGTTCCCATGTAATTGGTAAATGTTTTTATTTAAAATCATCAGCAATTTAATTTATGGGACAAAATCTTGACAATGTAATGGTCCCCTGATATACTATTGAGGCAAGTACAAAAGAGAGTGACTGTATTCTGGAGTTGTTATCAGAAAGACAAGCTCAATTCTTATGGTCCAGCAAGAGAACCATATAGATTGCATTTCAGAATGGACAATCCCAGTGGAAGAAATATTGGTAAATCAGGGTTGAACTATGGAGTCCTTGGTGCTCTGAGCTTAGATATTTGCTCACAGACATTTCATGATTCAGTTAGAGAATATCATAAATACTAGTGGGTGTGGGGTTTACTCACTGTTTATGTACAGTAGCTTGCTTGCCAGTGTTGGTAGGGGCATGGTTTTCTTCTTGATGATTCCTTGATTAGAGTATTGTTTTCTGCTTGACTATCTAGTTTAATTCCTGCTTATCTGGCTGCTGGCTGCTGGAAAGGATGTGTTCTGGTCTTTTTTATTTCCTTCTTAGCTTTTTGTTGTCTCTTTTGAATAGTGTATAAATGTGGATTATCTCAATTTGTCTACTGATGGCTGATTTGTCTGAATGCCAATCATCCAAGAATTCCCTAGCATTTTTTGGCTTTAGCTTGGTCTAGGATGCTCACAGTTTCACGGCTGAAACTATGGTTGAGTTTGTACATGGGTTGTGAGATTAAGGAGTTTTCATCATGTCTTCTGGGTATTTTGATCTTAGTATATCTGATTAGGTCGGGTGTGTTGGGTAGTACTGTTACCATAGATCTTTTGCTAGTTCTCGATCTTTGGATGTAAAGGGTGCTATGACATTGAATGAAGCCATACTTTAATCTTCTTCTATTTTTAGGTCTCTGATTTTCTGGAGGCACTGTAATGGAGAATTGATAGAATATTTGTTCGGCCGTGACATTTCCAAACTTTTCCATATGCTCTTTGGCTATGTTGTATGTTGGGGTCTCTGATAACAATACAGTGGGATGAAGAAATATGTCAGGCTTGTGTATTTTTGAATGTCCATAAAAGCAAGTGGAGGATAGGAACATTGCTTATCATTTGCCATTATTCTTCTTTTGTGATTTGACCTTTCAAGGTTAGTTATGGGTTCTCTTGATCAGGTTGTCTAGTTTCTGTACTGGGTTGGCATTTACTAGGATGTAAGGTGTTTTTTTTTGTCCTTCAATCATTATTTGGCTTTTTGAATGTATTATGTTCTGTCCATAACAGCTGTGGTTTGGCCTTTATCTGCTGAGAGCAAGATGATGGTTTGTTTCTCCTTCAGGTTTTTGAGAGCTGCTTTGAGTTGGTTCTTATTCTATGTTGTTCTGGTCTGGGGTGTGATCGTCAGTTTTATATTTAGTTGGGTCTTGGCAAGCTCTGTGGTTTTAAATGTTGCTTCTAAGGCTGCAAAGAATTCTAACTGATTAACATTGTCTATATTGTATTTCTTTTCTTTTCTACTTTTCAACTTGTCTTAGAGATTTAGTCTTGATGGTAGTTAGCATTTTTGTGTGTTCTGAGGTCATGGTTTGGTCCAGCTGTTCCTTGAAACTATCTATAATGTGCTGGTATTTGTTTAGTCTGAGAATGGAGGTGAGAATGGAGAATCCTAGCCTAAGTTCAGAAACAGATATCGTTTACACTGATCTGCCTGTTTATATTTCTGTTGTATTTAATAATTAGTTTTATTTGTCAGAAGCCTGAGAAAGAAAACTGGACCGCCTCTAATTAAACAAACTACATAATGGCAAAGTATAATGTTAGAATGTGACTAATTAGAGTTATTTCAGTAAACCATGGTTAAAAAGCATGATCTGTGACCTAAACCATATCTTTACTAGGAATGGTTGATCATTACTCATGAGGAAAGGGCCTTGGGCCTTTCTCCTTCTCCTGCTTCTTCTTCTCCAGGTTCATATTTGGGACAAAAACACATGGCCTTTATTTAGATCTTTTTCACATATATTTAGCAATTATGTAAAACTCTTGGCAAGTTTATAATCCGATGTGAACATTCTTGTATATAAATTACCGTATATACTCGAGTGCTGAAAAATGCCCCCCCTCAGCTTATACTCGAGTCAGCGTCTCGAGAACTGAGGAAAGTGAGTACCGTAGTTCTTTTTTTTGGGGGGGGGGGGATCTATGCAATCACTAAAAGTCGACACCGAATATTTTTTCCCAGTTCTTTGTGGTAAAATTAGGTGCCTCGGCTTATATTCGGGTCGGCTTATACTCGAGTATATACGGTAGTCTTATTCCTGTGTAATACTACTATTATGCAGCAATATACATTTCTACGCATCAAATGGCTATCTCCTAAAGAGCAAAAAGCTTTGCGGAGACAGTAAAGGTAGTTCCTCTCTCCAGAGACAAGAACAGTTTGTGGAAAAGACAAACGTGTGACAATAATGAGATCATAAAAACAGTACACTGAAGTAAAGCATCTCTGAAGAGAACCCAACAGGCCTTCCTAAAGATAGGTGAATACAGTACAGAAGATCAGCAGCTTACCTGGATCTTCACAGCAATGAGCACAGAGCTAAGCTCCTTGTCTAGTTCCCGCAGCACCGTCAGCTTTTTCAGGCGAAGACTGCACAGTCTGTAAGACAGAGAGAATGGGATACATTCAGGCACCACCATCCCAGGGCCCCTGCTGCATGATACAAGATGCTCCGAAGGTAGCCCGGGATATTGCTGACCACGGTGGGGCCTGAGTTGCTCCTCTAGCTCAGGAACTCCTGAATTCATGAGGCAAGAGAGAAAGTGGATCAGAAAAAGATGAAAGGAGGAAAATTAATAGAGCTAAAGCAGGATTAAGAAGATTATGCTATGACAGGAAGTTGCAAAGCACACAGAGGAGAAATCCCTGCCCAAAAGGAAACCAGTGCCAGCTCTGTACAGAGACACTTCAATGATTTGGGGACTTTCCTTATAATTATTGCAGTATCATGCCCTTAATGTCACCCAAAGGAATTTTTTCCTTGCTTATTTACTACTTAGATAGCAAATAACACCCAAATAATACTTAAATAAAGTATAAATTGTGCAACAGCAGATACAGTAAATACATGAGATTGAGTTAAATCTCTGAACACTCAAATCATTCTATTCAGTGAATCCTATTACTTCCCATTTGGTCCCCCCAGCCTTGTTTCTGAATCATTTTACTAGTACTGAGTACAGCCTGGTGTTTAAACAACCATTTACTCATCATTCAACCAGGAATTCTAAGCAGAGAAATGGGGAAGAAGGAACATGAATCAGTCTGTCTGTTTTATGGGACATTAACAGGGGTTGGAAAAAGCTTTTTTACTATTAAGATTAGTGTTCTAAAAGGCTGGAATCTTGCATTCCACATGCCATTCCTTTGCAATCAGCAGGAAAACACATCCAATTCTCTAAGCAGTCTAGTAAAAAATTCTGGTTACTACTTTTTGTAGTTTTTTATTAACAAAACATTTTCTTGTGGCCCAGTTCTCTCCTGATCCACACACACTGCATAAAGTCAGGAATGAGACATTACAGAAATTGTCAATGTTTTTATGAGGTTCCAACCCTCACCCAGTCAAATACCAGAAGTAATTCCACAAATTCAGTTGGTTACAATAGTTATTTCCAAGAAACTCCTTCAGCATCATTGTTTTGGGAACAAAAATGGAGCACCTTTTTCATCTACAAACACCATTTTACTTTTAGACCAAAGTTTATGAAGTGATTTTTTTCCAGAAAAAGGATCATACACAACTGATAATTCATCAAAAAGATTTATATGCAGACCTCAGAAAGGAGTGTATAGTCTGCTATTTTTCTCCCTTCACAAGCCCAGCAGAAACATTTCTGAACATATGCAGTATGCATCATTTATAAAGCTCCCGAATGCAAACCTTTGTACAAAATTTGGGTCAGCCTTGACTCAATTTTTTCCAGCTGCAGTGGCAGTACATATATTAACTATTTTCCTGTACTGGCTTTGTGAATCTTCTACCATCTTTCTGCTATTAAAAAGAGACTGCTGGAGTATGTGAAAGAGACAGATACTTTAATTGTATATCATTAAAAAAAAACTAGCTATCTACGCAGGTATAAAAGCTGACCAAAAATGCATGCAAGTTTTTAGAATGCAAACTACTTCAAGCAGTCCTACACTTTGCTGAAGAGGATCTGGGGGTACTGCTATGGATTACATGGAATTATTTATCCTTTGTGTCCCCCATCTTCCCAACCTATCAGCATTGACTTAAGGCCTGCCACCAGGATATATTTGGACGGAGGTATTAAATACTAGAACCAAGCAGCGTGGGCTTGATTCTACTCTTTAGATGTTCTCAGACGATTTTTTCATTACTAGTCAACTACATCATGATGTTGTTCATATAAGAAGGCTGACAGTGTCCTTCTGCCCAGAATGTGAAAAATGAGAAGTAAAAGTTTTCTCCCGCTGGCTAATTATGCAGCAGAATGGCAACCATTCAGCAAAAACATCTGGTCTTCCATACTAAATTTTCAAGGAAAAGAAATCTTCATTCCTAGGACCTCCTTGATGGAATAGTCACTTAATACGCTTTTGATTGTTTAGAGGATATTTGCCATTGAAGCATTCCAAGAAGTCAGCAGGCTCATTGCTAAAGATGGCTTTCTACAGCAAAATATTCTATGCATTTACAATTTTCCAAACATTCACCTTCTAGATAAAAAAAACAGCAGGTGGCAACATCTAGTTGAACCATGGCTAATTTCTGAAGCAAAGCAGTTTTAGCCCTGGTTAATGATTGGATGGGGATGTCTAGTACCTTCAGGGATGCAGATTAGACTGGAAAGTAGACCCCTCCCCCTCCCCCACGCTCTAGATACCTTCTAAAACATGCATATAGTTATCAGGTCTTGAGCTCAACCTGAAGGGTAGCCTTACATTATATAATATCTATGTACTGTCTTCAGTGGTACAGAAATTGTTGTAGGTGTTCTTTGTGATTCCTTGTATGATCTGCAAATGGGGATCTCCCCTCAAACATTAATTAGGATATAAATCTGCTGAGACACAGTAGTAAATTGCTTTATATACATCATACCTTTGTCACAGAATATTAAATTTAGTTGGTCTCCAACTCACCACAATAAATTAGCCCTGATGCTAGTAACATCCCTAAAGAGAAAGTTTGATTCTCTATGAAGTCACAGTATTTACAGTTATCTAAATGTACGCAAACACATCTGCGCACATCACTTCCCAAGACTCTCCCAGCTCCTTTTCCACTGCTTGATATCTACAGGGAAGAGAGAAGCCCACAAAAATTATCTTTTTGTTGGATCAATATAATATTTTTATTCAGCCCAGGACAATTTAACTCATTAGCTATTAGCATGCATTTTCCCTAACTAAACGCATCACAGGAAGTAGAAAAGCTAATACCCCATTTCTATAATTAAAGCATGTCATTGATAATTCCTCAGAACCATCTTCTATAGCATTTCTATTACAATATTTTTATACTGGCTCATAAGAAAATTCTGTTCAAGGCACAATTTACAAAAAAACATATTTAAATAAAAATGCAATGAACCTAAAACAGAAATGTACAACATTTAAAACTGCAGCAGCAAAGATAACTACATAAAACTACTAAACCAAATAAAACTTGACTTGGAAAAATGGAAACATCTGCAACTGTCGATGTTAGGAAGAATTGCTACAGTGAAAATGAATATATTACCAAAAATACTGTTTTTATTCCAAATGATACATATAAAACTAGAGATTTTTTTTTTAAAGATTGAAATTCCCTAATTCAAAAATTTATTTGGCAAGCAAAGAAAACTAGAATTAAATTGAAAATATTACAAGAAGCTAAGGGAAACGGAGGTTTTGGTTTGCCGGAGTGGGTTTTATATTATCAAGCATCAGTGCTAACATGGGTAAAAGAATGGATAACCCTCAGAAATAAAAGATTGTTGGACTTCCGCTTCCGGATCGCAGCACGTTCAGCCGTCCGAAGAGACCTCTCTCTTTGTCGGCTGTTTTTCCTCCGCCGGTAGACCCTTATGCGGGTCTTAAATTGCCCTGGAGGGGTGACTACCGTTGAGGAGGCTTTGCTCGGCTGCGGTGGAGTGGCGGCTCCCCCTGCAGTCCGAGCTAACTCCGTAGGGCCGACGGAGAAGATCGGCCAGTAAAATGGCCGATTACTTAGCTGCACCAGCCGAAGTCAGAAAATCATCTAAGCATAAAGAACCACCGTGGTCAATCTGAGTGAGACCTTTCCTCCCTCTCTCTGTCCTGACTATTTGCCTGTAAAAAGTTTTTGATTACTTCCCTGTCTTAAGAGAGCAGCTTCTGTCTACTTGGGAAAGAAAGTTTTAAAAGAACTAAAATAGTTAAAGTTTTATTGACTACTTGATTTTTCTCTTTGGATTCCTAGGGGCCCTGAAAAAAATAAAAAAAGAAACGCTATATTTTTTACTTTATCTATTATACTGGAGGTATTTGCTTTTGCTTTTTCTGTTTCCTGAAAGAGATAAATTTTTACTTATTTGGAAGAAAGAATTTACAGTCCACTGAGGACATCTTGTGGCAAAAAATGCCATTACAACTTATTTTCCTTCGCTATTTGAAGATGAATTTGTCCTTCAAATGACAACAAAAGGGAAAAGATAAAAGATTTGCAACAACTGTGGTGAATTTGCTTATTAGAATCTTGGAGGCGGATATTTGTTGACCTTTTTGAAATATAGCCTCCATTAAAAGATTAAAGACCATTCTTGATCAAAGACTTTTCACCACTGAAATGGAGGAATCTTATCCATAGCTCAACTATGAACTTATATTGGAAAAGATTTTGGAAACTAAAAACTATATGAAAGTTTATATCAAATCTTGGAGAAAAATCAAAGATGATACTAGAGAACCACAAATTGACTTTCAACCATCGGTTCAAACTATAGACCAAAGAATAACAGAGGAAGAACAGAGTAACCCTAGAGAGGTTCCTACTCAACAAGATATACAACTGAACGAGACAGAGGAACTGCACTTACAATTTAATTATGAACCTACAGTAGAAACTATTGAGCAAATTAATTCTACACAATCCTACTTATGACCTATGGAGAATATTGAGGATCAAAGAATAACATTAACTAAGCTATTTGATCTCCCAAAAATAACAGAGCTTGACATTCAGGTACAAGTTATTGAAAATTGGGATAATGTGGACAATCAACTAGCAACTACAATAAGGAATAAAATTGACTGTACTATTCAGATGATATTGGAAGAAAGAGAAGAGAACTTTGACTATTTTGATGTATTGAGAAATAGCTTTACTCAAATGTTGAGGTTTGATGATGCAGAGGTTTTATTATGGAAACCGGCTTGGCATAGAAAGAAAGCTAGAGTTAGGTTTAAAAATGTGGCTTAAAATTCCACTGAATGGTTTTAAAAGGTTGTTGACATTTGGATTGTTTTAATAACAAATGAAATAGGTGATTTTGTAAAAGGATATTTTTTGTAACAATATTTGGTATTAGAGATGATAAGTAGTTGAAGGGGTAAATGTTGATTGATAGAATATATATTTAAAATAGACAGAAATGTAGTCTTTTGGACTGATATCTTTATTTTAACCAAGATAATTATTTTGTAATAGAGGGAGAAGAGGAGGTATTTGTGATAAGAGGAGTAATAGTATTAATAAATGATGTATTAGTTTAAGCAATAGGCTATATCTAAAAAAATGTAAGGATGTTGCTGTTTGGGATAATATA